CCATACTTAAACAAAGACTAAACTAATCCCGGAACAAACCACGTAGAATTATTTTTAAAACGATCTAATTTCTTGGAGTTGTTAGACAATGTGATTTTACCTGTTGCAAGATCGAATACACCACTATTTCGAGTATCATCACCATCTGGCCAAACATCAACGTAACAAATTGTGGCACTCTTGATTCCACCACCAACTTCTTGAACCGGTGCTTCTATTGTAACATCATGACCAAATATCAACAACTCATTGTCTCCAATAGATTCTACTCTTTCCCATTTCTTACTCTCAAGATTCATCTTAAAGATGTGAAAGAAATGTTTCTTCTCACAAGATTTTAAGCAGTCGATGATCAAAACCTCACCGGAGTCTCGTATGGCTATCTGCGTCTTCCAACGTTGTTCCCACGGTTGATAAACATAGTCAAACTGATGAAAATAATATGGGCTTTCTTCGTACTCTTCTTGAGGGGAAACTCCAGAGAAATCATAAATGCTGATGTAATTACTCACAGAATAGATATAAAGCTTGTTGTTCTTATAAGCCAAATCCAAAATATACAACTTTGTGCGGTGGATATTCCAATTCTTCCACGAATCATCTCCTTTCTTGAGAGTAAAAAAGTGATATTTTGTTAAGTAAAACGTCCAAGCAACGAAATAATCCCCTGTTCTCTCGTTTACAGACAAAACAGCTGAATGGTGGGACACGGAATCAAGCGGCTCGACCAAGTCTCCATACTCGCTTATTTGATCGAATCTCATTCTCCCATGATAAATCGAATAAACCATAAACGGAAGATTGATCCTTTTTCTTGTTAACACATTCAAAAGATAGGTATTGAGACTAGAATCTACTAGTAGTAGCCAATTTCCGGAGGTAGTGATACAATAGGTGTCATCGGAGAAATCGAGTCCAAGGTCTTTTGTTTTGTAAAACTTGTCTTCTCTAGGATCGAAAAACATCGAAGATTCACCTTGTAATATGATCCGCCATGGATATAGAGGCGGCTTCACGCATGTTCTCCAAACTTTATACTAATCTGAGCAAACGGTTTTTGCTCTATGCAAATCAATGAAGCTCAATCTCGAGTTTTCAAGGATCGTTCGCAAAACATCGGGACAAAGTTTGGACCAATCATGATTTCTAGACACTTGTTATTCTTGTCTCTTCTCTTCTGTCGTCAAATCCTTGACATACCTACGCCTAGTCTAACTAGGGTTTAAGTTTTGCTTCTTGGTCAAGGTTAAAAACCTAATTATACTCATCTTGTATCTATAATAATGGGCTCAGTTATATAAAAGGATCACGCGATCAACTTGGGCCTTTTCTGGGCCTAAACCGAAATCCTTCGGTTGACATCTTTATTATCCGGTACGATTTTCCTAATTTCATTGTCCTCCTCAAGCTTTTTGATTTGAGCAAATTCTGGTTGATTCGTTGACATGCCCAACGATA